TTTTTTTTTTTAACTTCTCTGTTAGTTTCTTATGAGATTTCTTCTATTAGTCCTCTGATCTACCTCACTTTTTTATACTAGTGCCTTTAATTTTTAATTTCAACAGGTAATTCTGATACACTCCCGTAAAACAACTGTCATTCCTCACATTCTCCCTGAGTTTTCTCTCCTTAATGAGTCTGAAATCAATACTTTCAGTCTAAGTCTACTACTTGAGCTCCACATCTATATCTGTCTATCTGCATCTGTCTTCCAAACAGCTCCCCATCTGAGTGTCCTGCAGGTGCTCTGACTGCAGACTGCAAACTATCTGATTATCTCACTCCTATTCCCATTCAAACAAATAAAAACTCCACAAAAATAAATAAAATGAAAGCAAATAATAATTAAAAAAACAAGCCCCCCTCCCAAAGCCTCTGTCCCTTCCCATGCTTTATCTTTATTACCCAAGAAGACCTGCTAAGTTACCTTTTAAAAGACTGTTATATCTGCCCTGCTCCTCTTTACTTTCAGCTTTGGCTTCTGCAATAACCTCCTGCCTCATCTCTCTAATATTAGTATTACAGCTTTCATCTACACAATCTTTTTTTTTTTTTTTTCCTTTTTGGAAATGTAAATTTGATTGTATTTGGCCTACTTTAAGGCTTCAGTGACATTCTGACTTTCTGACTACAAGCTCCTTAAGATGGCACCAAAATGCACTTTTATACCTTGGGTCCTGCCTCTAATTTGTCCCATTTTTACAACTCCTCTTTATGGAACGTGGCTCTACCATATCACACTATTTGCAGTTGTCATTGCTAGTCTCTCTGCTTGGAATTCTCTTCTGTTTGGGTAACTCCACTTTACTTACACTTTAAACTCAGATTTAATCTCATCACTGAAACCTTTCTGGATCCATCCAGACTCTCCCTTGTAAACATCCTCATTTGTTTCCATGACTATGTTTTCACTTAAATTTTGAAGGACCTTAGTTTCCTAGAGCTGCCACAGCAAAATATCAAAAAATGGGTAGCTTTAAAGAACAGAAATTTATTCTCTCAGAGTTCTGGAGGCTAGAAGTCCGAATTCAGGGCATCAGCAGGACCATGCTGTCTTTGTCCTTCTACTCTAGGGGAAGATTCTTCTTTCTCTCTTCCAGCTTCTGGTAGCCCAGAATGCATCTTCACATGACATCTGTCTTTCCCTTGGGTGATTCGGTCTTCATGGGGGTTCTCCCTTTTATAAGATACTACTCAGAAAGGATTAGGGCTCTTCCCCTCTGCTGAGATTATCTCGTTAACTGATGCCATCCTGAAAG